TTCACCGTCTTGGCCAGGCTGGTCTTGAACTCCTGATCTCAAGTGATCCACCCCTCTCGGCCTCCCAAAGTGCTGGCATTACAGGCGTGAGCCACCGCGCCCAGCCCATTTATTTAATCACTGTTTATTATTCTTCCATTCTAAACCTCTGCACCTTTAAGTTCATTTCCTCGGCTTATCCCCACATTTCATTGTCTATCATTTACCAAATATGATAGGGTCACCATTTCTTACATAATTCAGTATGTTGACATGTAGGGAAATGTTTGCCAGTGATTCCCTGCTCTTTGGCCAAAAAGTAATGCACTCTCAAAGGTGCTGAAAAGAATCTTAATCTCCCTATGATGGTAGGGGACAGTGTGGGGGGACTGCTGAGGAGTTTGTGCACTGGGGTGGTATGAGGTATATTCAGGAGAGCAAATAAAAGCACCCTAGGTACAGCAGTATCAACAATCAAGTCAACCTATGTGAAGCTAGATCGGAGGGGATCTCACAGATTTCCTCAAACACTAACCCCAGTCTCACGTATACATCTGCATCTAGCACCGAAAGCCAAGGAAAAGCTCCTTCAATCTGGGGCAGGGTAATGGGAGACTGTATACAAAAAGGGATCTTTCTCACAGTGTTTTTTGGGGAAAACGTTAAACAATTCTGAGTATGGGAGTTCAGCGCAAACAAAGATTTGAGAACTTTTAGCCTATTTATTCTGACAAAATACCCAGCATGTATCTACAACTTTCAAAACATTGTTGTGTCTCACGACGATGCCTGTCCCAGTCAAGGAGCCAACATTTGTATTTGCCTGAGGAAAAGGTTGTGATGGGGGCAAGGGTGGATTTCGCTTGTAAGGCTGCTCGTATTTCACTGTGTTTCTTTGTTTTTTTAATTTGATGACACCTTCAAGAGATAAATGGCGACAATTTGTTACACCAGATATTTGACAAATTGGGACAGTATTTTATTTTAATTGTTAGAGACAGGGTCTCACTCAATTGCACAGGCTGGAGTGCAGTGGCGCCATGATAGAGCACTGCAGCCTCAACTTCCTGGGCTCAAGCAATCCTCTCATCTCAGCCTCCCTGGTATCTGGGACTACAGGTGTGCACCACCATGGCTGGCTATCCTTATATATAAATATAAATATAAATATAAATATAAATATAAACATAAACATAAACATAAATATAGTATATGTATATATGTATATGTATACATACATATATGTATGTATATATAAATATCTATATATGTATATATAAATATATGTACATATATAAAATATATATACACATATATACACATATAAATATATTTATATATAAATATATACACATATAAATATATATGTATATATGTACACATAAATATATATTTATATATAAATATATGTACATATATATATATATGTATATATGTATATATGTACATATATAAATACATATTTATATATACATATATAAATATATAATGTATAAATAAATACATTATATGTATTAAATGTATAAATAATAATAATAATAAATATTAAATGTATAAATAAATATATATACATATATACATATAAATATATATTTATATATAAATATATGTACATATATAGATACATATTTATATATAAATATATGTACATATATAAATACATATTTATATATACATATTTACACATATATATTTATATAAATATATACACATATATATTTATATAAATATATACATACATATATTTATATAGTTATATGTGTATTTATATATATACACACGCACACATATATATATGTATTTTCAGAGACAGGGTCTTGCTCTGTCACCCAGGTTGGAGTGCAGTGGTGCAAACATGGCTGGCTCACTGCAGCCTCCACTTCCTGGACTTGAACAATCCTCTTGCCTCAGTCCCCAAGTAGCTGGGACTACAGGTGCACACCACCAAGCCCAGCTAGTTATTCATTTTTTGTAGAGAAGATGGGGTTTCACCATGTTGGCCAGGCTAGTCTCAAACTCCTGAGCTCAGGCATTCCGCCTGCCTTGGCTTCCCAAAGTGTTGGGATTACAGGTGTGAGCCACTGCGCCTGGCCAATTTTAAATAAATGAGCATTTACTCACATAGAACCCTTGACTTACAAAGCTGGTGCCACCTTAGAGATCATCTGAGGCCCACCAATATTGTTTTGGGGAGTTTTGAGTAAAACACCATGCCCAGGCCTGACTCCAGACAAACTGAACCAGAATCTGAAGGGATGGGACCAAGGGGCATTTCCACTTTTAAAGCTCCACAAGTGATTCCAACATGCAGCCAGGATCAAGAAACAGCTCTAGTCTCACTATTTCATTTTACCAATAAAGATCTAGAAGTTCAGACAGATGAAGTGACCTGCCTAAGGTCACACTGCCAGTAAGTGGTGTCTCACAACCAGCTCCTCTGACTGCCAACCCAATGTTCTTTCCACTATGTTCTTTTTTTGTTTCTTCTTATAGAAAGAACTTAGGGTTTTACTGAACATTAAAGTTATGCAATTTACAATTGAGAGAGAAGAGCTAGAGTCCAGTAAGTATTGGTGGGGCATCTCCAGAGGGCTCAACTCAATTGTGGGTTCTCTGAAGACTACTATGCCCAGGACATAGCTCCTGCCAAGTCTCACTGATGGCAGTCAAATGACATTTTGCTAAAGGCAATGACTAACACTGTATGCAGTGTTCATTAGTCTTGTGTTGGGTCACTTGTTCACAAATTAGTTTCACCTATGATAGTAAACATTCACTGACGAATGTTCTCACTTTCAGGAATTAATTACATTAAAGCAAACAATAGTGGGACAGATCAGTGGTTCTTAATGTTTGAATTAGGGTGGTTTATTAACCTTAATATTGGTTAGGGCAGGGAGTCACAGGTCCCATTGGAGAACTAGTGAAAACTACAAACTTCCCCACAAAAATACACATACATAAATGTTGCATGTAATTTCCGAGGATTCACTGACACCCCTCCCATCCTGTCTAAACTCATACATAGACTCCAGATTAAAATCTCCTGGACTAGATGATTTTGAAGCTCTCTTTTAGTGTTTCTCAAAGTGTGGTCCATGGACCACAGAATCAGAATCACTTGGGGTGTTTGTTAAAGAAGAGATTCGTAAGACTGCCACAGACCTACTGTTTCAGAATCTCTGGGGAATGAGGTACAGGAATCCGTATGTTAAAACAAACAAACAAACAAACAAAAACCAGACGGTTCTTTTGGAAACTAACACTTGAGAATCAGTGCTTTATTCCAACTCAACATTTTTAAATGCTTTCATCTGTTGAATATTTTAGGTTTTGTCTGTTCATCTATCGAGTATAGCAAACAGTATGCTTAGTATTAACTCATTACAGAATATTTGTGTGTATGTACATAGGAAAAACACCTGGAAGTGTAGATGTGGGTGTGTGTATATATGTGTGTAAATATATATAATAGTGTTAATAGTGGGAATACAGATCTCTATTTTTCCCCCTTTATCCTTCTGTTTTATTTCTCTCATTTTTTTTCTTCCTGTGTTTTAAAAAATATGCTTCTTGTTTCTGAGCTCAATTCCCCCATCTGAGAACAGGTGCTGTAACTAGGTGAACTTCAAGATCATGTCTTGTTCCAATGGTCCGTGACTCCATACTATCCTCTAGGTTCCCTCGTCCATCTCACAGCATGAACTGCATAGGTAACAACAGTGTTTGGAGAATAAGCATGTATTATTTTTGTATGTATTACGTTTGAGATGCCTAGCAACCGTTTTTGTGCCCGCAAAATTTTTCTCTTCTTTGTCAAGGAGCCAAAACGGAAATAGTCTACTATCTACGGCCCTCAAAAGTTCCTCCTCTCTCCTTAGCCTTAGAAAATACCGTCCGCCATAGGCATGGGCAAAGACTTCATGACTAAAACACCAAGAGCAATTGCAACAAAAGTCAAAATTGACAAATGGGATCGAATTACAAGAGCTTCTGCACATCAAAGGAAACTAGCATTAGAGTGAACAGGCAAGCTGCAGAATGGGAGAAAATTTTTGCAATCTACCCATCTAACAAAGGTCTAATATCCAGAATCTACAAGGAACTTAAACAAATTTACAAGAAAAAAACAACCCCATCAAAAAAGTGGGTAAAGGATATGAACAGACACTTCCCAAAAAAGACATTTATGTGGCCAACAACACGAAAAAAAGCTCATCATCACTGGTCATTAGAGAAATGCAAATCAAAACCACAATGAGATACCATTTCACGCCAGTCAGAATGGCGATTATTAAAAAGTCAGGAAACAATAGATGCTGGCGAGGCTGAGGAAAAATAGGAATGCTTTTACGCTGTTGGTGGGAATGTACATTAGTTCAGCTGTTGTGGAAGACAGTGGGGCGATTCCTCAAAAATCTAGAACCAGAAATACCGTTTGACGTATGCACACGTATGTTTATTGCAGCACTATTTACAATAGCAAAGACTTGGAACCAACCCAAATGCCCATCAGTGATAGACTGGATAAAGAAAACGTGGCACATATATACCATGGAATACTATGCTGTCATAAAAAAAAATGAGATCGTGTCCATTGCAGGGACATGGATGAAGCTGGAAGCCATCATCCTCAGCAAACTAACACAGGAACAGAAAACCAAACACTGCATGTTCTTACTCATAAGTGGGAGTTGAACAATGAGAACACATGGACACAGGGAGGGCAACAACACACACGGGGGCATGTCAGGGGGTCGGGGCCAAGGGGAGGGAGAGCATTAGGAGAAATACCTAATGCATGTGGGGCTTAAAACCTAGATGAAGGGTTGATAGGTGCAGCAAACCACCATGGCACATGTATACCTATGTAACAAAGCTGCACATTCTGCACATGTATCCCAGAACTTAAAGTAAAATTAAAAAAAAAAAAAAAAAAAAGACAGAAAAAGAAAAAGAAAATGCCGTCCGCGCATATTTCTTAGGAGCATAGGAAGGGTTGTGAACCAAAAAGCCAGGGCGTGGTCGCCCCGCCCACCGGCCTCTACATCACCACCCCTCTCGCCGCTTTCAAGCGCGGAGATTGGCTGTAAGCAAGAAAGAGCCCCGCCCCTAGTCTTATGACTCGCGCTGAAGCGCCGATTCCTGGCTTTTGCAAGGCTGTGGTCGGTGGTCACCCGTGCTCTTGACCTAGGTCCAGCGAGCCTTTTCCCTGGTGTTGCAGCTGTTGTTGTACCGCCGCCGTCGCTGCCGCCGTCGCCTGCTCTGCGGGGTCATGGTGTGCTTCCGCCTCTTCCCGGTTCCGGGCTCAGGGCTAGTTCTGGTCTGCCTCGTCCTGGGTGAGTTGTCGGGCCCTCCCGATTAGTCTGTCCGCCTGGGCCCGGGGCGCCAGTTCAAAGCTACAACCTGAAAGACTGGTCCGAGGGGGCGGGGGGTGAGAGGCTCAGCAACTGACACTGGGCGGCGGCGGTTGGCCCGGGGAGGCGAGCGGTGACCTAGAGAAGGCCTGACAGAGGGATGGCGGGGAAGAAGGGCCCAGGAGAGTAAGAAGGGGCCGGTAACGGGGGGTGGACGCCGAGGGTGTAGGCTGGGAGGAGTGAAGCGTGGAGAGGGTCAGGGTGGAAAGAGTAACTTGGGGAAAACACTGAGGAGTGAGCGTAGGAGGGTGGTACATGCAGATTTTGGGCGCCAGAGACAATTAGGAGAGTCCTGGTTTGCTGAGATCAGGGAAGAGTTTTGAAGATGGTGGAAAAACTATGGGGTGAGATAGGAAATTAAGAGAGGAGACCATGCCTGCCTGGAGTAGAGTGTGGGTGGGGGACAGATGGGACAGATAGGACAGTAGAGCCTGAGGGGCAGGGGCAGGGACAGGGTTGGGCATTTTGAAGGTTGGAATTTGAGGCTGTGAAGAAGGGGTGATTCAAGAGATTAGGAGTGATGCTGGGTTTGAGTTTGGTAGTCATAGTTTTAAGGGCGAAGGAGCCTAAGGTAGCTGGGGCAATTTCCAGGAAAGAAAACTTGGACCCAGCCTCTGGAGACTAAGGGGTTCGGTGGGAACTTTGATGGGGAGTGCACATCTGACTTGGAGGTATTAAGGATGTCGATTTTCTCCCAGTTTTGCTACTTCCTCCCAGCCAGACGCTGACAAAAAAATCCCCAGACGTTTCAGTTAGGAGGGCCTCCCAGATGAGAGGTTTTGATAGACTGAGTTTGGTAGACTACCTCTTTGCCTTCAGAGTCTCTTGTTTTCTTTCTTCCCCATCACACTAGCCTATTACCTCATTTTTTGGGGGGGGGGTGCAGGGAGCAGGTAGACAACTTGCTAAGGATTGGGTTGTTACCAGGGCCTCATTAGAATGGCTGGATGGGGCCGGGCGCGGTGGCTCACGTCTGTAATCCCAGCACTTTGGGAGGCCGAGGCAGGTGGCCTCACCTGAGGTCAGGAATTCGAGACCGGCCTGGCCAACATGGTGAAACCCCGTCTCTACTAAAAATACAAAAATTAGCCAGGCGTCGTGGCACATGCCTGTGCTCCCAGCTACTTGGGAGGCTGAGGCAGGAGAATCGCTTGAACCCAGGAGGTGGAGGTTGCAGTGAGCCGAGATCGTGCCATTACACTCCAGCCTGGGTGACAAGAGTGAAACTGTGTCTCTAAATAAATAAATAAATAAATGGCTGGGTGAATGTTCGCTGATTGTGTTGTGCCCTAATAGGCAGTGGGTCCCTAACAGCTTTAATGCCTAAAGATGAACTTTGACTAGTGTCTCTTCCTGACTTGATTCATGCTGTGCTTGTTGCTACCCACCTGCTCTTGCTATTTGTGACTTAATAAAATAACATAAAGAACAGACCCAGATGGAAGTGGGGAAGAAATAGACTTATTAGGGGTCTGAGAAAGCAGTGAGAGGTATACATTTTGTAATTCACATTTCAGTAGAATAAAATCAACACCCTGGAATAGTCATTCTCAACCAGGGGACATTTGGCAACTTTTGGAGACATTTTTGGTTGTCACAACTGAGGGATTGCTTTTAGCATCTAGTGGGTAGAGGCCAAGGATGCTGCTAAACATCCTAACTAAGCACAGGGCAGCCCCTCACAACAAAAAATTATCTTTCTGAAAATGTCATTGATAAACCCTGCTCGAAAACCATAGTATTGGAAGGGTTCTTGATTATCTAATTCAGTGACTCTCAAGGACCTTTTCATGGGTCTATGAAATCAAACCTTTGGAATAATGTTAAGAAGGTATTTGTCCTTTTCGGCTGGGCACAGTGGCTCACGCCTGCAATCCCAGCACGCTGGGAGGCTGAGGCGGGTGGATCACCTGAGATCAGGAGTTCAAGACCAGCCTGACCAACGTGGTGAAACCCAGTCTCTACTAAAAATACAAAAATTAGCCGAGTGTCATGACACATGCCTGTAATCCCAGCTACCTGGGAGGCCAAGGCAGGAAAATCGCTTGAACCCGGGAGGCGGAGGTTGTGGTGAGCCAAAATTGCGCCACTGCACTCCAGCCTGGGCAACAAGAGTGAAACTCCATCTCAAAAAAAAAAAGAAAGTATTTGTTCTTTGTCCTTTTCACGCTCATCCTCTCACCAGTGTACAGTGGAGTTTACCAGTGGCTACATAACATGTGATGACCTCACCACTCTGATGTTCTTATATTTTATTCATTTCTCAGTTTTCATTTCTAATACTCTAAATACCAATACATATGACTCACATAAACCTCTCTGAAGTCCTCAGTGGATAAGAAAGTAAAGGGGTCCTGGCACCAAAACGTTTGGGAATCCCTGATGTAGTCCAACTGTTCATAGGGTGCAGGAAACTCTTCTGTAGCACTTCTGAAAGGTGGCCTTGAGGCAGGCTTTGCTTGAATACTTAATTCCAAGCCTTAACTGTCCCTTGGAGCACTTACTGAGGGCCAACTGACCTTAAGAAAGGATTGTTTACAATGGAAAGTACCTTATCAGTGACTAGAACACATCTGACCAAGGCATCTGTTAATCAGTAGTTCCCTGCCAGTTGAATCTGTGCACAAATACAACACTGCTATTGTTTGGGGAAAGTGAAAAAAATAATAGTTGTCCTACTTGTTGGCTTTCATGTCATTAAATTTTTTTTGTTTTTTAATGAAAGCTTTTTTGTTTTGTTTTTACAAAAGCAGTGCTTACTCATTGCAGAAAATAAACATGCAAAAAGAAGCACATAAAAAAACCCATCAGCTCATCTGCTAGTTTGCCATTTATTGATCGGGACTAACTAGATTCATCCTCTTGGAAAATTTCCAAGATTGATCCCCTCCACCTCCACGTTCAGAGCAGGATTTGGAAAAGTAAATATTGATAATGTACCTAGATCGGATTTTTAAGAGGTTCCAGGATGAAATAGAAACCATTTTTCTATACAGCTGCATTTTCTGATGGCTACTGGTTCAGTGTGGAGCCCAAAGTCCTCCCATATGGCTTTTTCTCTCAAGAATTTAGCAGTTGCTTGGTGGTTTTTGTGCAAGTTACTTTTCTGTATCAAAATGGATACCAAGAATAGGTTTTTGAAAACTCAGTAAATATTTGTAACGTACCTACTATGTAGCTAGATCAATAAATATTTGTGAAGTATCTACTATGTAGCTAGAACTGTGCCTGCGTACTGTACAGGGTGCCAATGAAGAAGGACCTGTCCTAAATTTATAGTCTTATTAGCATTAGTGCTCTAGCTGTGCCAGTTTGACTTTGTAACTTTATAACTCTATCCCAGCTTCACCCGTAACCTTTTAAAAACAGCAGCTTTAGAGTAAGTACAGAAAAGGATTCTTAGAGGCTATATATTGGTCTTTTTCATAGAGATTAAATTATGCTGGTGTTTATTTGGATGAATTGTAACTGACCAGATAACTTTCCGAAGAGAAGCTATATGATTTAGAGGTGTTATAAAGTGGATAGTGAAAATCCTTTCTTTATATAATTGCCTAATTACGGTCCTTTTGTGACATCATAGATTTCAGGATTCTTCTGTGGTTATTGATTCTTATAACTAGCTTGACTTCTGTTTTTTGGTTTCTTTGTGTTTTTTTTTTGTTGTTGTTTTTTGGTTTTGGGTTCAGATTTTTCTTTTTTAGATTTGAGTCTTTTCTGGGTGGGAAAAACCTCACAGAAATATTCTTAGTGTCCGTCACTGGTAGGAGCCTCTCCCTTCCACACATGTTTACAGAATGCCTATTGTGTCCCAGCCACTATATTAGGTGAAAGTGACAGAGGAATGGATAAGACAGATGAGGTTCCTGCTCTCATGGAGCTTACATTTTAGTGGGAGAAGAAAGCTCAACAGATAAATAATATAATGTCAGATAGTGATAAACACTATGAAGAGGTTGGGTGTGGTAGCTCACACCTGTAATCCCAGCATTTTGGGAGGTCAAGGCAGGCAAATCACCTGAGGTCAGGAATTTGAGACAAGCCTAGCCAACATGGTGAAACCCCATCTCTACTAAAAATACAAAAATTAGCTGGGCATGTTGGCCGGCACCTGTAGTCCCAGCTACTCGGGAGGCTGAGGCAGGAGAATTGCTTGAATCCAGGAGACGGAAGTTGCAGTGAGCCAAGATCACGCCACTGCACCCCAGCCTGGGGAACAAGAGCAAAACTCTGTCTCAAAACAAAACAAAACCCTATGAAGAAGATTACACAGGTAATGAGAAAGGAGAATGAGTAGATGATAGGAATGGGTGATGGTGGATGATCCTTCTTTATATTATGTGGTCAGAGGGCCTTCCATGATTGGGTGACATTTGGGCAGAGACCTGGGTGTTGGCAGGAGGCCAGCCATTTGACCATATGGGGAAATAGGAATAAACCTTATCATTTGCAAAATCTTAGGTTACTGGCCTATTTTCCACTCTTTTTTGTTTCCTCCTAGTTTTAATCAAGTCTCTCCTATGGTAGCAGTCTGTAAGAGCAGAGACTACTTTATGTACTGTTATCTCCCATTTCCTACTTAGCATAGGGTCTGGTACATGGTTAACCCTTAGTAAATTTTTGTTGAAGATATTCATTGGTGGGCACTAGGGATATGATGGTAAACTAGACTCATTTAATCTCCTTTTTCTTCCATGAATTTTAAATGATGTTTTGCAAGAAGTACTTTTGGATTGAAAACTTCAAGATCAGTGCTAAGCAGTACAGATAATTATACAGTAATTTACTAAAGTATAATCCCATATAATAATGCTTACCTGTACTCCTTCAGATATACCTCCATAGTCTTGAAGGGGATGATATGGAGAATTAGGAAGTCCTTGGTGAGGAGAGTTAGGTTTTCACAAAGTTAGGTTTTCTCT